GTGAGCCACTTTTGAGACGCACCCGGTATATGAGGTTTTAAGTTTTAATGTTGCCGTTTGACGTTGTTTTCTCTTTCCGAATTCTACCACTATTTAAGCCTGTGTTATGGCCTTCATTCCTTTTGGTCTTTTTTTTGTGGGAGCTTTATGGGAGGGTGTATTAGAGAGTAGAGGGAAAAAATCTAATCCTAAAAAAAACATGACTTATGTGTTCATTTAGGATAACGTGCTGGTTTTCTTTACGGTCCGATTTTATCTCATAAAGCTAAAAAGGTTTCTTTAATATTTTTATTTTATAAAAAAATGCGATTATTAAAATAGGAAAATCGTTATGGAAGTAAAATGTTTCGTCCGTAAGAATATTAGTTATTCCATATTGTAATTCTTTAATCCATATGAATTTTTAAATATTTTTAGTGTAACAAAACTGCTGAAACCTCTACTTCATATATTTAATATTTTATTTTAATATTAATTATTTATTTATTATTTTAATATTATTTATTATTTTAATATTAATATAGAGTTGTGGCCATTTTTTATAATTAGCTCACCTTTGGTGTAACACCTAATGCTTTGGTGTATTATCGTGAGCAAATATTATAATATATTCTGTTACCTGTTATAATATCGAATTTGCTATCTTGTCGTCTGAATAATAAAACTGTCGAATAGAATATAAAAAATTTCATCTTTTAATGATCAATAATATTGTTTTTCTTAAGGCAGCAGAGATAGTCAAAGTAATGTACACTACAGAAAATATCGCAAGAGAGTGGAGTTAATACCTTACTTACTTACTTACTTACTTATTGACTGCCATTACTTGCTGACGAGTATTTGACACGCATCAGAAGATGGTTACGCAAGGCGTTTTCTTTCATGAGCTTTTCTGCGGCGGCAAAGCCCGATACTCGCTGTCTCTCTTTCGCACTCCGGACATTTAAAAATCTCATTATTTTGTTGCCCCTTTACTTTTCGGCTTTCGTTGCTAACTGAATTTACAATTTTTATTTTTCTCCATTGCATTGCGTTCTATTGTGCGTTGCTTCTTCCTACTGATTATGCATGCTTATCCCCTTTATGTTTTCATGGGTTAATACCATAGTCTATTTATTAGACAGCCTAGAGATGGGAATTCTAGTGTCTTGGTAGGAACTAGTTCCCTAATTCTAGTTCCTCCAGAGAAATAGTTCCTTGAACGTTGACATTTCGCCGAAACGCCGCATTAACGAATCGCATCAATGAATAGTGAGATTGGGGACGTAGGCTACGCTCTATAGAAGCTCCGTTTATAGGAACTATCGATACTGTGAAACTAAGTGTTATGACTCTCTGTGATGTGTACGAAAACAGGCGTAATAAGGAACGCATCAGTGACGGATCCACTGGGGGCTTCAAGCACCCCCTATTATGTTCAGCCGTGTAATACGTTGTTATTAATTTATTTTGTCAGAAACGACTCCAGAGTTTCTACTTGGAGAAACAGTGTGTCTTTCTCAAAGTGTCTCAAAGTATCTTCCTTTGTCTCTAGCTCCCCCCTTTCCCGAATCCTAGATCCGCCGCTGGAAAGCATGGTACATTGCAGGTGAAGTCGGCTGGCTGTGCTAATACCGTATGATTCAATAAAAACGGCGTCAGCGTTGGCTATGAAATGAAACTCGCTGTCATTTTATAGGTAAATTTATATGGGAAATGTCACCGATCGTCATTTCACAGCCAACTGGACGCTAATAACTTGGAATATAATCACTAAGCACGTTATATAAACAGAAAATCCATTGAAAGTTACGTGCATACATGTATTACATCCATAGTTACGTTCCATATTTTTTAGTCATTATTCTGTTTCTTTTTTTTTGTACAAGAACCTTTTACTCGTTATTCTTTTTATTATTTTTGTAGGAAGCTTCCGGAAGAGCGTGCGACAGGAAAAATAATCTAATATATCTCAAAGTCGAGCAACGTTTCTTTTTTATTGATGTTGGACTGTCGATGTGTGTGTGTGTGTTATTCCTATTTTTTTCTCTCTATTAATTGGATTATCATTTGAATCTGGAATATTGATATTATGTGTTTTGCGTACGAGGTAAAATAAATGTTAACGTTGAAAAGCAAAATTTTTTGTATGTATACTCATATGTATATATACTTATATGTATATTCTCGTATTTCTAATATACAGGGTCCGGCAATAGTATGTCGGGCATCTGTAGCTCCTATAAAAAAGGTTATAAATAGGAAAAAAGGTTATAAATAGGAATTTTGTTTAATGACAAATCTTGGCTCTCTTTTTGATTACTTTGCACAATCCTAAGATATATTATTAAATATACAGGTTGTTAATTTGTTTATTACTCGCGGTAAGAGCTTTATGGTTGAAATATGGCAACCTCGGCCCGCTCATCGAGAGACGACGCGACGGAACGAGTCGGCAGCTTAGCTTAGTACTACCCTTGTTTATATATTAATAGTTAGTCAATGTGCCTGTATAAGTCGATGCTGCCAACTGGTGGCAGAAATTAAAACGTAAAAAGGGGCGGACACTATTGAATTTGGCAAAGAAGTAGGGACTAGGAATTCTTCGAATTTAATTCTCGGTAAAGAATAAAATATCTTATCTGCTTTGAACCGAATTTTTACCTCAAAGCGTTATTTACATTTTTTATTTTTGGATATGGATTTATATTTATTTTGATTTTCATGGCCCCTTGTTAAATACTAAATTATTATATTAGGTATATATGTATATATTTTATTTCTAGATGGATAATTAAAAAATATATGAAACTATACCTACCTACCTCTGTAACTTTGTAAAAAAGTATGACGGATTTAACATAATGTTTTTTTAAATGTAACATCCTATTTTATTTTAGATCCTGCGTAAAATTATTACTTTTTTATGTATAATCCTTGTATAATGGTGTAACCTAAAACTAGTTTTCTAATATTTCAATTTGTTGATGAAGAAAAAATATTAGATACTATGTAGATATTTAAGGCAGATGCTACAGGGTGTTCAACATATATTAATGGTTAATTCTACGTATTTAAAATTAAAAAAATATCTGCAGACTCTTTCAATGACACAGCCTATACTGAGTGTTTTTTTTTAAAGTGGTTCACCTCTATAACTTTTTTATTTTTTCAGATTCCGAGAAAAAAACTAAATTGGGAATGTTAGTAGGTATATGACATAAATCGAGATTGATTCGTATTCAGTTAGTTTCGGTCACTTCCTGTTTCACCGGAAATGTATACATTTGATTTTTAAATGGTACCCTCGGTATTTTTTATACCGTAAGATCGAATAAAAACGGCGTCAGCGATGGCTATGAAATGAACATCGATGACATTTCTCATATAAATTTACATATAAAATGACAGCGCTTTTCATTTCATAGCCATTGCTGACGCCGTTTTTATTCGATCATACGGTACTTTATTTGATAGAAAATGACATTCTGAATAGAATGACAACTTTTGACATCAACAATCATATGTCAACTTTTGACATTTTCAATTAAATCAAAAATAGCATTTTAAAATTCAATCTAGTGTCATGGCTGTGTTAAAACCATTATTTTTTAATCAAGGATTAATCAAGGAGCTTTGGAAAAATTGATTTGGTCGTCTAATATTTTTTGTGTCTTTTCCTGGTCAGTTGAAATATGCCCATTTCGTATTTTAATCATAACTCAATTTTTTTTAATGAAACGAGAGTGGCTCATTAGCATATTTGGAAAAGCATTTTTTGATACCTAATAAATTTTGGTACCTAATTTTGGTAAATAATTTGGTACCACACACTCCGTATGTCGAGTCAAACTGTCGTTATCTTTACGACCGGTTACATGTTGTTTATTATCATGGCACTCTACTAGATTGAACTTTAAAATACTATTTTTTAAGTAAAAGAGTCAAAAGTTGACATTGAATTATTCTATTGAGAATGCCATATTCTGCAAAATAAAGTAAAAAAATACCGACGGTACCATTTAAAAACCAAAAGTTGTAGTCATTTCCGGTGAAACAAGAAATGACCGAAACTAATTGAATACATCAATCAAGCTACTTTTGAAAAACACCCGATATATTATAATTCTTTCTGATAGATTTTACAAAATCCTTCAACTTCTATTAAGAATGTCATATAACTAAATAAATCACTTTACTTAATGTTTAATAATAAATAATTTTTGTTTTGTCATATGGCAACTTGTTATAATGTAAATGAATTAAAAGAAGGATAAAATTCAGAACAGATTGCAAGCTGTTGAGTATAGGTGTACTTAATATACTTTCTTAACAAATGTTGAAAGGTTTTGTAAAATCACTAGAAAAAATAATAATATATATATCGGATCAGCCAAAAAAAATGTTTGAACACAGTGTAGCATCTAACTGCAAGTATTTTTACATATAAATATATTTTTTTTTCATCTCTGTAAAACACTCCTACCAAATTTGTGTAGTCCAACTTCGGAAACAACTGACAGTTAAGTAACATAGGAATAAAATTTTACTTTTTTTTTAAATTGTAAATACTTACTAACGTTATTTATAAAAAAAAGTTATAGAATTTTAGGCAGAATCGAAAATAAAATAAAAATGGAGTTTTGCATTAAAAAACATGTATCCGCCACATTTTTTGAAGCAACCAGTATACTCAAAAATAACATTTGAACTGTGTCTCTAAAGATTCTCTATACCCTTTTTTTTATTTTTTTGGAATTCCCAAAACAAACGAGATAATTAACTTTATTTCTTTCGTGATATCTCATTTTATAATATTTCGGAAGAATTAATCAGGTATCTTATTTTTATAATTATTAGAAATAAATCGGAATTAAAGGATAAGGGATATGTAAATATATACCATACGATAAAAAAAAACGGCCTCAGAGGTGGTTTGGAAATGAATATCGATGTCATTTGTACGTAAACAAATAGACGCCGTTTTTTTTCGCTCATACCGTATAAGAAAAAAAATTTAATAAAGCAAACGCATTTATTAATACATGTATATAGATTTACATGGTATGAAGAAATTCGCATTATGATCTCTGAAGGTCCCACCAATGCTTGGTTAAAGTGGCGAGTACGACCACTTAGCAGTCACACCTATAATAATTTAATAAAATATGAATATAATAAACAAACTTATTTCTTTTAGATTTTTTAAAAGCGAGTTATATGTGTTAAGTGGTTTTTGATTATTTTAGACTAATTTTTTTAGACATATGATTATTTTAGACCAAATTGTCTGCCCACTCAAACGTCTTTCAAAATTATAATGTAGGAAATTCTTAATATGTTTTAATTGGGAATACTTTTAGAAAGTTTCATTTTCACCAAACAAAACTACGTGTGTATAATAAATTGCAGTATAATCAACTATAATGCACGATATATACTGGGGGCGTCAAAACTAGATGTTGGGTTTTTCTCAATTATTTCGAACAGAAGTCCAATTTTTTCTCCAAAAATTTTGTCCAACTTTGTTTTGAAAAATAATTTTTAAATCCATAATCGATGTTTATACAGCAATGTCCTCTTTTAGAATAGATAATTATTTTCAGCTGCATCGATAAAATAAATCATATTTACTGATGCCAAGTAAAAAAATAATTAGGAAATTATTTTAGACATCTAATTCTTAATTTTTGTCGCTGATAAATAGATACATCACTTTTGACGACAAACCTACTAATAAAAATTGCGTAAAACAAATCATGTTTATTCGCAAAGAGACAATTGAAAACAATTTAATAACTATTAATTTGGGATATAGATCTTAATAAAACAAAAGTTGCATAAAAGCTTTGTTGATTTATGATATAAAATACAGTGTTTCATTTGAAATAGCAAAGAAAAATATAATATCTAGTTTTGACTCATCCTGTATATAATAAACAATTTAGTCTATTTTAATATTATTATATGAATTATATAATTATTAATTATTAACTTAAATTAGTTCCAGTAAAAAACGTCGATATTACCTATTTTTAACTTAACTTAGAAAGAGAGGGCTTTAAATATATATTTTATTATATAAACAATAAAATTCAATCCAAAAAGGGTCAAAATATATTCTTTGGTCAAAATGAACTCTATACGACTACGAATTATGGTATTTTTTGGAATGACAATTTAATAACAAATCCACCAAGCAAAAATACAAAATATAGCCTTTCTTTTCACAAACTCATAACCTTTGCTCATAACTAATAACTTTAAAAGTAAATATATATTTGAATCATCCTGTATATCTATAAAAATACCTCCCTGTCAAATTTACGCTACTTTTGCAAGCATATTTTACAAAAAATATGATTTGAGTGAAAATATAAAATAGGAAATCTGATATGAAGCTTTATCTAAACACAGGGTTGACTGTAGATAAAAAATATTTTACGTTATCAAGTTATTAAGAAAAATTCTCGGAAAAATTATAAAATACACAATATATCTGACAATTCCAAAAAAGCAAAGTGAGAAATGAAACAATTTATAGCATAAAATCAGTATTTTTTTAAACTTTTAAGCAAACTGGGCATTATCGTTTAATCTATCTATCAATCTATCAAATGTTTATTATTAAACTTATCTCAGACTCTATAACATTTTTCCCAAGAGTGATTTAAAACAAATTTATATGAATTTAGAAATAAATATGAACAGTATTTACTTACCTGTAAAACAGATGCTTTTTGCTTAATTAAATATGTTGGAAAATATTATCCAGTAGGTACAAATACACAACACTTAAACACAACAAAATAAACTAATAAAATAATAGTTTCTAATCCAAATTTCACAAATACTGTTTATGTTTCTTCGCGAGGGACGAAAAAACTGAATTTTTTAATTACTCAGATATGCATTAAGGTATATTTCAATTCAAAAGCTTATAAATATTTATTTTTATAAGACATAACCTAAACGAAACGAAATTACAAGTCGAGAAAGATCAACAAAACTGCCGAATTTAGAAGCGAATATAACTTTTTTTCCTTTTTTCTTGTCACAGTTGAAACAAACAAGGATAAAGCTATTTTCGTAAAACATGGGTGAAACGTGCTAATAAGTGGCCCAATAGATGTGACCTCGCGCCCTTCCATTTTTGAACGATGGGCGGGTTTAACGGATTCCCCTCAAAGAAAATCGTAGGGGAATACAAAAATTCAGAACGGGCAAGGCGCCACCTAGAAGACGGGCTTGTACTAAGCCCTCATTGTACATCTATTTATACATAATCAAGGGTACTACTCATTTGGAATGTAAGCAGTGTTGCCATTCTGTTCCCCAATAAGTAACAGTCCAGTTAACAATCTGTATTTTGGTAGTTTTAAAGATAATAATAAATAAATAAAAACATATTTTTTTACCCTTTAAAAAAAAAAATTAAAAATACAAGAAATTTCTTGAAATTAAAACTACATAGGTATTTATTGTAATGGGTCTGTACTTAGCTAAGCTTCATTGAGAACGTCGAAGTTAATGGAATAAATTAGTGATTTCAATTAGCGTAGAAGTTTGTTCCTTTAATTTCAACGTAAGCATTCAGAACGTCAAAATTAGTGGTAGTCATTTTCAATTAGTAGAAAAAGTTAACAAACTTTTAACTTTTCCACTAATTATACTTCAAAATTTGCGGGAAATGTCACTTTGGCCTTTAAATAAATGCCTTTATTGTCAAGATTTTTTACAAATTGTAGACAAAGGTAAAGTAAACAAACAACAGAGAATACAAAACAAATATACAAATTACATTGTCAGTCCTTATTGTTTAAAATAATAGTCCAGTCATCTTAGTCGAAATAGGGTAGGAATCATGGTACAAAGAAAACAAGGTATGATCGATAGCGGCTCCAATTTCGTTAAGTTTGCGCATACCACCTGTGATGTCATACGCCATACAAAAAAATAGCCATGTTGTTCAATTGCCACTAATAAAAAAAGACCTAAAATAGGGAAGAATTAGGACATAACCCCACAAGTTATGTTTTGACATCGAGCTTGACATTTGAAAAATTATTTTCACATTTTGACACAATCAAATTTCACAGATGACACAATCTGTTTGACAATTTGAAATTGGCGCGCAGAGCTTGCCGACCAATGGTGCCGTTTATCACCTGTGACGTAGTGACCAACCTGCGCAATATCATACCTTGTATTCTTTGTATCATGGGTAGGAATCTCGGATTTCAAGATAACCGGCTGTATAAACCTTTATTTTAACATCATAAAACATGTCTCAAAATCTACATATGATAGCGTATGCGCGACTTGTAGATAACTGAGGTCAAAGGTCAAAAATCTATTTTTTGCGAATTTTTTGCAAATATCTCGTCCCCTTTCACATTTACACTATTTGTATTTATTCTAAATATTGTAGAGGATAAAATTATCTACAACTTTTGTTTCAAAAATTTTTTTGTACCTCAAACCGTTTTTGAGATAGAGGGCGGTGAGCGCGCAGTCTTTCATTATGTACGGTATCATTCAAGTTCAACCTGTAGTCTCGGTCAAAAACACGTCGTATAAAGTCCGTTAATTATTAAAAAATATATTATTATAAATAATTTAATTTTTTTCATAAAAGATCACATTGAATATAATATTTTTTTTATAAATTAAATATCGATCTTCATTTAATAACACTTACTCTTTGTACAATTAGAAAATTATCAACAGAAATACTTACATTTTAATTATAGTTAGTTTGGTTAGGTTAGGTTATTTTATTCAGTTTGGTTACAAGCAAACTGAATAAACCTGTGCAATTATCAAATCTTCCACCAACAAGTGCAGCAGCTTACCAACGTTTCAATCGTGTTCAGACTTGGTTAGGGCATAATTTATAGAACCCCAGGACTGGGTTTGGATAATGCGTAATGGATTCCTGGAACCTGTCACTACTATTCTACTTGCAGCTCCAGAAAATTTGCTGAACAAAATATTCTGCAACTGCAAGAATGGTTGTGGTTCGCGATGTGGATGCAGGAAATCAGGGTTGCCGTGCTCTTTAGCTTGTGGCCAGTTTAATGGGCAAGCTTGTCTCAATGCTTCACCCTATCAGAGTGATGTCATTAAAGATGGTACATTTGACCCCGAAATCCTAGAAGACTTGGAGACAAATGTCGTTGAAGATGAAAATGAAGAAGAATTTTAAATTCCACAACGACCAGACGACGATGATGAGAAAACTAAAAATAAGAACATGGAGTTCTTTTTATTTTTATTCAATTTTTTTAATTTCAACCATGAGAAATGTATGAAATCGTATTTTTTAAAATGTAATTAGTATAAATCTAACTATAATTAAAATGTAATTAAAGGATTTCTGTTAATAATTTTCTAATTGTACAAATGTTGTTAATGAAGAACCAGACATACTGAGATCGGAAATTGAAGCAACAATAAAAAACCTAAAACATCATAAAGCCCCGGGACCAGATCACATCACGGCCGAAATGCTCCAAGCCTCGGGAGATTTTGGTGTGGACATCTTGCACAAGTTATGTAATATGATATGGCATACTCACCAATGGCCATCAGATTGGACCGATTGTTCCATAATAACCATCCACAAAAAGGGATCTCCAGCCAAACGCGACAACTTTCGGACCATTGCGCTAATTTCACATGCCAGTAAGATTCTTCTTCATATCATTAACGAAAGGTTAAAACGGTATGTTCAACCACATATCCCTCCAGAGCAAGCAGGATTCACAAGAGGTCGAGGAACACGTGAACAAATTTTGAATATCCGTCAGATTATCGAAAAGGCCCGAGAATTTAACAATCCGCTCTATATTTCTTGGTGGCAGGTGATTGTGCATTTTTTTCGAGTTGTATAATACTGAAGTTTTAACTAACTCTGAGCTAGTTAATTAAAATTCATTAAAATAGTCATATTTTTATCTATACATAAATCTAAAAAATAAGCGATTTACCATTTTTGCCAAGTTGCATGCCTTAACGAAGATATTGACTAAAAAGTCATTCGGTAACTAATAATTTCTATAGCACTCTCAATCAAAAGCTATTGACGGTGTATAATCACCGTTTGCGATATTTTTCATTTGGTTTTTCATCAGGCTGCAATTACCGGTAGTTTTATACCTCGTATATCGTATTTTCGGATTTATTGTTGCCTGCTTTATGAGAAAAACTGCCACAGAGAAGACTGTTTAAATCCGGAAAAAATACTGTTGCAATTGTGTGATTGACAATTGTTATATTAATTTTCATTTTTATTTTGTTGACTTTACTTTGTTGACTGATATTTGTCTCACAAGGCGACACTTTTTAAATGTTTACGTGTCATAAAAAAACTTACAGGAAAGTAACCAAGTATGGGATACCATTTAGTTTTTGTGTGTAAAAAGATGATTAGAAGATCCATTCCATATAACTTTACCTTTTTGCAGTATCTCGTGTATTTTACCCAATAATCGACTGTTTCTAGCGTTCAATTTATAGATATTAGTTTAGTTTTAATCAGCTGCTGATGATGTTAACATGGTTAGCGAAACGCGCGTCCAGTGCAAAAATAGTGTCTTTTAGTGTATTTGTAGTAAATTAGTGTTTTAGTTTGCTTTTTTTGAACCAAATAAAAATCTAACAATATTTTGTCCATAATTAGGAATCTAACGAAATACACTATAATTATAATATTTCGTATTTGAAGTTTGGAAATCTTTAAGCAATTTTTTGTATCTTGTTTACATATTTTTTAAGATAAATAATTTGGTATTCTTCTGCCCTATTACCATTTTTGTTATTTCTGTATTTGGATCTGACCCTCATTTAGGACTGTTAGATACTACCACCATAATATTATATGCGATAGAGAAAAAGAATCGAACCCCAAAAGTATTTTATTTTCATATTCATTCGGGACAGCCCGCTCGTTTTGTCATTCTATCAGATTTTATCACTTTATATATTGGTACAAGTGCGAATGGGGATATCCCCAAGTTTTTCTGTCGGCAATATTCCCACGCGATGAATATTTAATGCGACGATAGAATAGAAAATTGACTCCGTCCAAGATTTGTAATTACCATCAAGAATACCGCTTATAAGCGATAGAAAGACGGCGTATCGTATTTTAATTTTGATCAATTATTAATAGTTATTTTTTATACAAGACGATAAAATGGTATTTTATCGTGGACCGAAAAGATTAATTCATGAGCGATGAAATCGCCAGTGAATTCATTTCGGGAGACGATAATGCAATTTTATAGTCGTGTGTAAAACAATATTTTTTTCCATAGCAGGTTACGTTTTAAAAAATATTCAGAAATTATTATTTCAAGGAATTTATTACGAGTAGAAACAATATTGTGCAGGGTTGGTGTTGGTTTCTATGTAATTTGACAAATAAATAAAGCTCACCCTTTAGTTGTCAGTTTTGAGTCAATATTTTTTAATTCTCTTTCGTGTCGATGGCTGATTGAATTGGAGCCAGAAATGGCTCAAAACGAAATAAGTAAATTACCAACAGATATTCAGGCTGAGTCGACAAACGCCATATCCAAACTACTTCCATTTAAATCCCGAATAACTTATGAAAAGGAATACATTTTCAAAAATGGAAGCAACTAAAAAACGTGCGAGAAGAAATAAAGTTTTTAACCTATCCTGGCTGTTAAAGTATCATTTAATGTAGCCTTGCGGTTAAAGTACTATTTTATCAATTTATTTTTGATAGATATAAGGCAATTTTAACAGTTGCTATTGAAAAAAGGGTGCATAATGTCAATTTGGACATATTTATGTTTAAACAAACCTTATTTCGTTTAACTGTCTAAATTTGATTGTCTTTTTAAAAGATTTCTATTTTAATATTAAGCGATATGGACGTAGCATAGAATAAAACACATTGCATTAAATATAATGCATGAGTAAATTTATATATTTTTTATTCAGCAATATTTTTTAGGTTTTTGTGTTTAAATAAATTTAAAAGTGTAGCGATGACCAACCGTTAAATAAATAATACCAATATACTGGGTGTTTCTCAAGAGGGCACGCCCCTATAACTTTTTTATTTTTTCAGATAAATAATCGAGTTTTGGTACGTTAGGAGATGACATAAATCACGGATTGATTGACGATATTATTTTTAAACATAACTCATTTTTTTCAAATGCTCCTTAGCATATTTAAAAAAAGGATTTTTACGAGTAATTTCGTACCACACACTTGGTATTTTGAGTCAAATTGTCGTTACATTTATGG